GTGCCCGTCCAAACACCTACAGCTAGTCTCCCGTTGGTTCTCCCCATTCCTGTCCATCTTACGCAGAAATTGCCAAGTGTGCCAAACAGGACGCCGCTCGCCACAACTAGAGAAAGCCCTTGCACAGAAACAAAGACCCAACACAGCCAAAAATAAATAAATAAATAAAATTTTAAAAAGAAAGGGTTGGTTTGGTTTTGTTTGGTGCAGCTTGACATGTTCCTCCTCTTTATCCCTGACCTCAGCCTCATCCCAAGCATTGAAACAGTTGTTAAACTGAAAGGAAATCCTTTCTTTCTATTCTCTTGGTCCTCATTCTCCAAGACCTCCCTCTTCCAGGCTCACTCAGTGGCAGTGGAGAGCCAGAAAATATCAATAAAAGCAGATTTTGGAGACTGAGAGTCACGGTTCAAACCTGGCCTCCCTTCTTATGGGCTGTGTGACCCAGGAGAAGTTACCTAATTTGTCTGGACCTCTGATTCCTTTTCCGTAGGTTGAAGATAATGACCTCCCAGGGCTGTTCTGAGACAGGCATTTGCCCAGGCATGATATGGGGGAGGAGTGGGGGGAAAGCTATTGAATTGTTATTTCACATTATTGTATTAACTTTCCCAGAGCGTTCCAGCTTCCTTCCTGTTCCCCTTTCTAATCTATCCTGAACACTGCTGCCAGATCAGTCTTCCTGAAGCCTGACTAATAATAATCATCTCAAAACATAGTAATCGTTTTTATGTGAATGGTTATAAAGGCAGTTGAAAATAGAAAGCTGAGCATAGGTAGGAGGACGGACCAAGACCCCTGAGACGTGGCCACCAGGTGGATGCTGGGGTGAACCTGTGTCCATTTCTCCACCGGAATGGAGGGTCAAGGATGGTATCTTGTTACTCCTTGCATTCATTTATTCAACCAATAATTCTTTAGCACCCCGTCTAGGCCCAAGGGGTAGAGCAATAAACAAAACAGACCCTTCTCACTGCTGAGCTGCTTAAAAAATATTTGCTGAATTAGTTAACATTAATCAAAATTTAATGTCAAAGATGTGGATGCCAAATAATGATGATATTTTATGTTTTCAAAAGTACAGATTCCCTGTGGGGATGTACACTGATTGAACCTAAATTTTCTCATTTCTAACCCCATTTTGGCCTCAATGTTTAGAAAATATACATTCCAGCTTGTATTTGCAATACTCCTATGACATCTTGGCATCTGAATTTGCTGTTGAGAATATGCAGCATATGCTGTGAATTTCTGAAGTGGATGCCAGCACAGCTGGTTCTGATCTGAATACAAACAAATCAAACAATTTGGTTGGCACTGAAGCGTGATGACAGGTGACAATCCTTGGCAAGGGACAGGTTACAAATGGGCCAATTAAGAATCTGTACTTTCTCCTGGCACCTGAGTTCAGAAATAGACCATTCATTGAAGATGATCCTAAATTTGAAGGCTTGTGGTTGTCATTATGGTTCTTTTTTTTTAAAGATATTATTTTATCTGCTAGTGTGATGGGTTGAATTGTGGCCCTCCCCCCAAATTCATATGTTGGATTTGCCCAGTACCTCAGAATGTGACGCTATTTGGAAATAGGGTCTTTAGAGAAGTAATCAAGTTAAAGTAATATCATTTGAGTGGGCTCTAATCCAATATGACTGGTGTCCTTAGAAAAAGGAAAATTTGGACACAGAGACACATATAGAGGTAAAGAGATACAGGCAGAAGACGGCCAGCTATAAGCCAAGGAGAGAGGCCTGGAATAGATCCTTCTTTCATGGCCCACAGAGGGAAATAACCCTGACCACTTGATTCTGGACTTCTGTCCTCTAGAACTAGGAGACAATAAATGTCGATGTCTAAACCCCCAGTCTGTGGTACCTTGTTAGAGCAGCCCTAGGAAACAGATACAGTTCGGATTAGGTAATGATGCTCTTTGCGGAAGCTAAATCTTAATTTATAACCCGACCCATTTTTTCCACTTAGGCAAATAGTCCAGTGAGACCTACAACTTCAGCTCGTTCAGTGGAAGGGATTTCTTGTCTATACACGTTCAGTTTCAAAATAGCTACTGCCCAAAAGATAACTTTATAAGAGCAAAATGATCAGCAGTATCTCACCTGGATTTGCAAGGCGGCTACTTGTGGGTCCAAGAATCTGATAAGGATCTATAGAAAAAAGAAAAGAAGTCAGATCCCAAAGACATAGTTGTGAGCAGGTAGGGTGTAGCTCCAGGAATAATGCTGACCCGCTGGTGTTTCCAGATTTCAGAGTTGAAAATGTCCCCCACGCCAAAGTCCCCCAGCACCACTTCCTGTATTAGAAAAGATGTCACATGGGTCTGAGTGATGCTTCTTAGTAAAGGTCTCCTAGCTGGTGGCCGAGCTCAGATTTGGCCCAGGGTTCCCAACACCTAGCCCAGCGCCCTCTCCATCCCAGGATTTAAACAGGGCAGATGCATTCTGCCCAGGGCCGTGTGGGCCGTGATGCTCAGCACGCTGGCGGCAGCATCCTGCCACTGTGTTTCCGCACTGGACTTGGCACATGCGCTGACATTGCTGTATGTGACCTGGAAGGTGAAAATCAAAGAATTGCTAGGCCGCAAAGAAGCTGCCTGTGGGCACGCAGCATGTTTTTTCCATATTTATTGCATGGGTTTTGGAAATGTTTTAGCAAAATCTCAAGTCATTCCCAGTTGAGTAGACTGATAATTTAGTCCCTGTTTTACATACAGAGCGGTCCTAAAGACGACGAAGGAACATGAGTTTAACTTAGAAAGTGACACATTTTAGAAAGATGCTGCTAAACCTGTTTCTTCTTCTATGGCCACCAAGATGCTCTGTGAAACATACCTAGCTGAGGACGCTGGTCTTCAGTTTTGGGTACTGTGGAAGGAGATGGCTGAGCAGCTGAAAATCCAAAAAACAAAGAGACAGTTAGTTATAACTTGTATTTGGCTACCAGACTTTGATGCCGTTGTATCATCATTCCATCATGTACCTTAGTTATTAACACAATAGCCTTACTCTTATAATTAGAAACATGGTAAGAAAAAAATTTCCTTTCTAATGAAACCAAATGTAAATGTGGTAGCAAAACGAGGGCACTTTAACTTATTTTAAAAATGTATTTTTACCTCACTTTTTGCAAAACTAAAAAAAATTTGAGATAGTTTACAAACCAGATTAAAATGAATCAACTCTAAAATAAAAAGATAAAGGGAAACCACCAGGAAAATATAAAGTAAGGAACACTAGAAACATGGCCAAGATTAGGAAATCACCCAGTATTTAATCTGTACTCAAGCATCCTATGAGACATGCATTTGTCCAGAAATGCATTACATCATTCATTACATCACTCATTTCTTTTTGTTATAGAGATATATTACATCATTCATTTCTTCTTGTTATAGAAATAGGTATAATGCCAACAGAGAAAGAATCATTGCATTTAAAGATCAGTTGCGCTTTGTTGCCAAAGGGACAAATGTATGTTGAAAAAGCATAGTTTGGCTACAGAAATTATCATTTACTGCATCAAGAGTTATCCACTGCCTTGTGATGTGAGGATTCAAGGCAGTGGGAACCAACACTGTACCTTTCGACTGGGGCGTGGGGTGGCCGTGACTGGTCCAGGCTGATCTCCTGGGTGGTTCGTAAGGTAAATCTGTAAAGATAAATAAATTGACTAAAAGATCAATGATGTAACTTGATGACAGCTATTTTGTGTGCTTTTTTTTTTGTTTTGTGTTTATTAGAATCAATATTGTGCAAGAAAACCCAGTTATCCAAAGTAATATTCAACCTGGATTCCACGAGATTTGGGTTTTATTTACAAATGATAACTTTGTATCTTTTACTGATCTAACAGTTTCACCCATTAATCTGAAAACTCCCATGGATGGATTCTCTAGGAGCTGGCTGACTCTTCTAAGGTAATTTCCTGCAATCCTAGGTCAAGACCATATCAAAAGTTTCTTACAATCTAGTTTGTCCTGCTTCCAGCTGGAATTGACATAAGTCCATCACCCCTTTATTATCTTCATGACCTGTCTGAAACACAGCCTGCAACATGGATGAATCAACCGATTCCTACCTGAGGCCTGACACTAAATCCACCAAATGACGTTCACGTTCCTCCCTTTTCTTCTTCCTTGGAAGCGAGCACTGCCTTCTCTTATTTGCCAGCTGCCTCTCTCAGCCACCCCTCATTTTCCCTCATCCACTTATATTAAATCAGTCTTAAGGGTCTAGTTATTTTTCTTTTTTTTTAAATTAATTTTTATTGGAGTATGGTTGCTTTACAATGTTGTGTTAGCCTCCACTGCACAACAGAATGAATCATCCATACACATACAGATATCCCCTCCCTTTTGGACTCCCCTCCCATTTAGGTGGGCCTAGTTATTTTTCTACGCAAATGTCTACTCTTTCTCCTTCTCTAAATGAATTTAGAATTTCTCTAAAATGAACTGTAAGACTGAAATAATACTGCCCCCGCAAAACACTGGCAATGGCCGTAGAGCTGAAGAATATGCCAACGATTTTTTTTTTGTATTTATAATGCATTGCTACTCGTCCCATAAAACTTCACCACACTTTGTTTATGCAAATTTAATAATTATACATCTGCATCCTCAGTGCAAGTTCTATCAATGATTATGACTCTATGTCTTTTCAAGTTTCCTTGAAAAATATGTTCCAGAAACGTTATTATGCATGCTCTTACTAACTGTGCCTACATAAAGCTGGGGAGTGGGGTGACCAGCTACACGCAAATTCATTACAGAACCATTTCAAAACTACGACTTCTCTGATTGACGGGTCTCGGTCCAATGCCATGTGTCATTCTGGGCCAGCTGAAAGCCATAGCCAGGCACTTCAGCAGGTGTTCTGCTGCCAGTCACCTGGAGATGACTATAAAATCTCACTTGGAGAGATTTTAAGCTTTGTTTAAAATTGGCAGTTTGGTGGGTCAATCTTGAAAAAGCTTGTTGACTGTGTTGCAAAAGACATGTCTCTTCCTAGTTTCATATCCCAGAGAGAACAGCAATGAAATGCAACGTGAAATCCAACGCAGAATTGCCTTAATTTATTTGGTCTGTTTGGCTACAAGCATCTCGACTAGTGTGGTCTGTGAAATCCTACCCTCCAGAGCTTTGGTTGAGTTCGATAGTTTTTCTTTTGAAACTCTGCTATTGCTTACCACTCCCTCTCCACTGGCATTTCTGTATTTTGGGGACTGTAAGCATTTCCCACCCAGTTCCTCAGATTCTCACTTTTCTGGTGTTGAGGTTACACGTGGGAATTAAATCTGCAGTCGCTATCAATTTACAACTAAATTTCAACTTAAGTCGCTGGGAGCATTTGCACACAGATTCTCATCTAGTCGCATTTTGTCTAGAAACTGGTTAGGCAGAGTTTCAATTTGAGAATTGTCTCAGAAAGAAAAATCTACCAGCAGGGCAACTGTAAAAGCATCTCTCCTACTTTAGGAGCAGACAGCCATATCAACATGGGGCTTCTGTCTACCAAATGAAAAAGCAAGAGAATCCAGAAATATGTTCTGGGTCCTTGTTTCTCCGCAGACCAGCAGTATCGGCAATGTCTGGGAGCTCGTTAGAAATGCAGAACCTCACTCTAGATCTACTGAATCAGAATCTGCATTTTACCAGATTCTGATAAAAAAAAAAAACAGAGCTACCATATGATCCTTCAATCACACTCCTGGGCATATATCTGAAGAAAACCATAATTAGAAAAGATACAGGCACCCCACTGTTCATTGCAGCACTGTTTACAATAGCCAAGACATGGAAGCAACCTAAAAGTCCATCAACAGAGGAACGGATAAAGAACATGTGGTACATATACACAATGGAATATTACTCAGACATAAAAAAGAATGAAATAATGCCATTTGAAGCAACATGGATGGACCTGGGGATTACCATACGAAGTGAAGTAAGGCAGACCGAGAAAGACAAATATCATGTGATATCACTTATATGTGGGATCTAAAAAAAAAAATGATACAAATGAGCTTATATAGAAAACAGACACAGAAAACAAACTTATGGTTTACTAAAGTGGGGAGGGATAAATTAGGAGTTTGGGATTAACATATACTCACTACTATAAATAAAATAGATAACCAACAAGGACCTACAAGCACGGGGAACTATACTCAGTATTTCATAATAACCTATAAGAGAAAAGAATCTGAAAAAGAAAATATATATATACACACACAGTTTTATATGTATATATAAAACGGAATCATTTTGCTGGAATCTGTATTTTAACAAGGCCCCATTTGACTTGGGTGTACACTGAAGTTTGAGAAAGCCTGTTCTAGACAATTTCCACTATTCTTTTCTAAAAATCTGTGTTCCTGCAGATAAGGATGTCAGAAATGCTATCTGAGTGTGTTAATACAAACAAATGTGTGGAAAGAGTTCTAGATTGAATGCTTTTACCTGAAATATTAGAAATGGAATTAATAGCAAGTGTCAGTAGTTAGTCTGCTACTACTTTAAACATAAAGAGATGGCCCATGAAATGTGACTGGAAGAAATTAAGCACCAAACTACTAATAGGAAAATATTTTGAAACTCTTAATTCATAAAGTCCTTCTTAGAGTGTGTAACCGAGTCTCATCCTCCCTTGAAAATCAGTCAGGACCTAAACAACTCCAAGTCTGATTTTTTGCCAAGAACTGGAGATGTTTATATGAACAATGATTAATGTGTTCATGAACATATTGCCATGGAAGATAAGTGGGCCTTTGTTTTTGTTCATGAAACTCTGCTCCAGTGTTCTCTTATCAGCTACCGATCACGTGCCATGGGCACCAAGCCCCCGTCCTGTGGGATGTGACATTGAGGAATGTTGAACTAAGGCTTGCTGAGATGGGAGACAATCATCTCAGTGACCTTGTCAGCAGCTACAACACCTCAAAGCAGAGCCAGTTTTGAGCAGTTCTGCTTTTTGGCTCCTTGAAAAATTATTACTCTGTGTACATTTGCTATTTGCCCCTTATGGAGAGTAGATCATAAGACCTCTAGTAAGAACACAGTATACATTTCATTTTTGGTGGTCATTTCAATCCACTCTCCATTTCTCTTCAAATTTAACCATCAGGGTCATTAACTCATACACTTGGCAGAAGGTCCTGTGTCAGGGACAGCTGCTTTCTGGCATGAGTTCTGCTATTTTTTTTTTCTGTAACAGACTGTGTTTTAAAACTGAACTTTATAACAGCCATTTCATAGGCAGCTGAGGGTTACCAAAGAAGTATGCTATATGCCATGATCTAGACCAAAAACCATGAAAACTATAAATAGGGAGTTTGACTGGTGCTGGCCCCCTGCACCCCAGCACCTTTGTTTATTTCCTGGGAGTCAAGATCAGTTCCTGATTCTGAATGAGACTCCTTCCCCCAACCACTCCCTTCCCTAGACATCAACGATGTAAGCAAGCATCCTTGCTGCCCTTCGTGCAGGATTAAGTTCACCAAGTTTTACACTCTCCTTTCATCAAGATTTTACTGAAGAACAGCCCACTAGCCCTCTTGACATCTACCCACCACTTAATTTTTTTAAAGGACCAGAACTTGGATCATGGGGGAGCTTATCCTCATTCTGGGGATCCATGACCCATTTACAAAGTAACTCTGGAGGTCCCTGGCTGCACTGGATGCGAAAGGTTGAATTTTGCCAGCTCTCAATGAACTTAGATGCTAATGGCAAAGACAAAGACCAAGAGCTATTGACCTAAACCAATCTACGAACCCCTATTTAATGCAAGGAATTTTCAGGGTCAAGCCGACCGACATGATTAAATCACTCTCTCTTGTTTTCCTCTAGCTCTCCCTAGGGTCTTCTGAACTCCTCTGTCAAAGACATGGAGATCTGGGGGCATTTTGCCTTCCCTTTTCAACTAGGTGTACAGATGTACAGATCTGTGGTTAGAGTATAGTTAGGGCAAAGCCAAGAATGCATTTTCAGCCATTCGCTGTGATACAGGCTTTACTTAACTGAGGAGACAGTGCATTGGCTGCATCATCTTGCTATGACTGGAGATGCTGAATGGCACTGAGCTGCAAACTCCAAAGGAGGAATCATTGCAGATTCCGAGAAACCCTTGAGGAGCGCCAGCTTAAAAGGGAAAGTCAAGGCTGCACTTGCTGACCCAAGTCTCCAGTCTCCTTCAATAAAATCCTCGATGCGTATCATGGTGCGTGGATTACCATGGTGACGGAGAAGGGGAGGGTGGGGCTACAGATCGTCCTGGGCACACACAGAGCTTTCCCATACACTGCTCCTAGGATGCCAGGGAGGGTTCACATCATGAGGTCAAAAACCAGCTTGCAAGTTTCTCTGAGTCAGACCTGTCTCTGTTTATGCCACTTGAGGCCTCAAGGGGCCATGGCCCCCAAAAAAGCATGTGTTCAGCAAAGAAGGAGGGTGTTTACAGGGGAGATGGGGAAAGGGCTTCTGGTCATAATAACTGACTATCCAAGAAACACATGCGACACCATGAAATTCGATCATAAAAAAAGTACGTAAATGGATCTGCCTATGTGCTAGCACTTTCTAAGAGGAGAGGAGAGACTCATCTAAATGCTAATTCAGCAAAGGGATCATGAAAGAGGGTGCATTTTGAATCAGGAAAATTTGGATAAAATTAACAGGAACAAGCGCAAGGCAGAGAGGGGATTGAGGCATGAACAAAAGAGTATATTGTCCATCATGTGTTATCCTGTAAGGTCACTGAACATCCCGGACAATTGTGGTGGGGGGAGCTGAAACGACCCAGTAATTGGACAGGGCCGGCAGTAAGGGGACTCTGGAATAAATGATCTTTTTGGGAAGCTGGGCCATGACAAGAAGAAAAGGTAGACGGGGGTGATTACTTGAGGAGGAAGGAAAGGAAGGAAGTGGGGAGGGGACACTGGGAAGTTGGACTCAGCAGGATGACACAGGTGGGAGGAAGGAGTCCTCTGTCTCCGTGGATGTGGGATTAGAGAAATGGATGGACACAGCAAACCAAGAGTGCAGGGGAACGGGAACTCGGGTCTCTGTCCCCAAGGACCCAAGGACCTCTCCCAAGGAAAGTCAGCAACCAGCTCTTC